TATATTTTTATTGATTTCAGAGAGGAAGGGAGAGGAAGAGAAAAGTAGAAACATCAATGATGAGAATCATTGATTGGCTGCCTCCTGCATACCCCCTACTAGGGATTGAGCCTGCAACCCGGGCATGTGCCCTTGACTGGGAATCAAACCTTCAGTCCACAGGCTAACGCTCTATCCACTGAGCCACACCAGCTAGGGTGGTTTTTCTCTTTTATTTATTTAATATATTTTTATTGATTTCAGAGAGGAAGAGAAAGATAGAAACATCAGTGATGAGAGAGAATCATTGATTGGCTGCCTCCTGCACACCCCCTACTAGGGATCTAGCCTGAAACCCGGGCATGTGCCCTTGACTGGGAATCAAACCTTCAGTCCACAGGCTAACGCTCTATCCACTGAGCCACACCAGCTAGGGTGGTTTTTCTCTTTTATTTATTTAATATATTTTTATTGATTTCAGAGAGGAAGAGAAAGATAGAAACATCAGTGATGAGAGAGAATCATTGATTGGCTGCCTCCTGCACACCCCCTACTAGGGATCTAGCCTGAAACCCGGGCATGTGCCCTTGACTGGGAATCAAACCTTCAGTCCACAGGCTAACGCTCTATCCACTGAGCCACACCAGCTAGGGTGGTTTTTCTCTTTTATTTATTTAATATATTTTTATTGATTTCAGAGAGGAAGAGAAAGATAGAAACATCAGTGATGAGAGAGAATCATTGATTGGCTGCCTCCTGCACACCCCCTACTAGGGATCTAGCCTGAAACCCGGGCATGTGCCCTTGACTGGGAATTAAAGCCAGGACCCTTCAGTCCGCAAGCCAACGCTCTATCCACTGAGCAACACCAGCCAGGGCGGTTTTTCTTTTTTTAATCTTTATCGATGAAAGTATTACATATGTCCCCTTGGGTGGCAGGTTTGATCCCCGGTTGGGGCCTGTATGGGAGGCAACCAATCCATGTTTTTCTCTCCCTCTCTCTCTCTCTTCCTCCCTCCCTCCTTCCCTCCTTCCCTCCCTCTCCACTCTCTCTAAAAAAACTCAATGGAGAAAAAAGAAAGAAAAAAGTAAAATGCTGCCTGCTGGGACTCTCTGCCAATACAGAAATGGCCCGGGGCTGCGCTGTCCGCGAACACAGCCTCCGCCGCGTGTGCCATCACACATTTGAAAAACACCTCTAGTGTATTTTCAAATTTAATTTAATTTTAATTCATTTACATTTAAGCAGCCCTACATGGCTCAAGGCTACCATATTGGACAGCTCGTTCTAAATGCCCATGTGGTGCCAAAACCGGTTTGGCTCGGTGGATAGAGCGTCGGCCTGCGGACTGGGGGGTCCCGGGTTCGGTTCCGGTCGGGGGCATGTGCCTGGGTTGCGGGCGCATCCCCAGTGGGAGATGAACGGGGGGGCAGCTGATCAATGTTTCTCTCTCATCGATGTTTCTAGCTCTCTATCTCTCTCCCTTCCTCTCTGTAAGAAATCAATAAAATATATTTCAGGAGGTCACAGTTCAATTTCCTGTCAGGGCACATGCCTGGGTTGCAGGCTCCATCCCCAGTGTGGGGCGGGCAGGAGGCAGCCGATTAGTGATTCTCTCTCATCATCGATGTTTCTGTCTCTCTCTTTTCCTGCATCTCTGAAATCAATAAGAATATATATAGATTTAAAAAGCAATAAATGCCCATGTCTACCCATCTCTTTCCCCCAAAGACTGAAGACCCCCAGGAAGGGACCGGTGCTGATGGAAACATCAAGACACCGTCCGAGGCAGCGGCAGCTTCTGTCCCGGCCGAGGAGCCCCCGGGGCCTGGTGACTGCGCCACGTTGGACGTGTAGGAGGCTGGCCGGAGCCTGGAGGAAGGACTTCTCCCCCGGGGAGGAGGGGGTTGGGGTTCAGGTGGCTGAGACGACTGGACATAAATCCGCACCACTCTGTCCTCGGCGCATAATCCATACTAATAAAATTAAGTTTTTGGTTTGTTGTTGTTTTTCAAATATGCTTCTATTTATTTTATTTTATTTTATTATTTTTTAATCCTCACCCGAAGATATTTTTCCCTTTGGGTTCTGGTGGCTGAGACGACTGGACATAAATCCGCACCAGTCTGTGTCCTCGGAGCATAATCCATACCTAATAAAATTAAGTTTTTGGTTTGTTGTTTTTTTTCAAATATGCTTCTATTTATTTTATTTATTATTTTGTACAGTCCCTTGACCCGAATTAAACCCTGGACCCTTCGGTCCCCAGGCCGACGGTCCCCAGGCCGACGGTCCCCAGGGGTCCTCAAACTATGGCCCGTGGGCCACATGCAAATACAAATATTGTATTTGTTCCCGTTTTGTTTTTTTACTTCAAAATAAGATATGTGCAGTGTGCATAGGAATTTGTTCCTAGTTGTTTTTTTTTAAACTATAGCCCGGCCCTCCAACGGTCTGAGGGACAGTGAACTGGCCCCCTGTTTAAAAAGTTTGAGGACCCCTGCTCTAGCCACTGAGCCAAACCGGGTAGGGCTATTGATTTTATTTTATTTTTTTTAATTTAATTTTATTTGTTAAAGTATTACAAATAGTAGTACATCTTGGGCTATTGATTTTAGAGAGAGAGGAAGGGAGAGGAATGGAAAAGAAAGGAGAGAAACATCGATTGGCTGCCTCCACATGCCCCCTACTGGGGATCCAGCCCACAACCAGGGCATGAGCCTGGGACAGAACCTGTGACCTCTTCGTGCATGGGACAAGGCTCAACCAGCTAAGCCACACCGGCCAGGCAAAATTAAGTTTTTTTTTCTTATTGTTGCCACTCCTCCCAGAAGTTACCGGCCCTGGCCGGGTGTCTCAGTTCATTGGGGCATTTTCCCATACACCAAAAGGTTGCAGGTTCATCCCCAATCAGAGCACCTGCAGGAGACAACCAATCAGTATTTCTCTCTCACATTGATATGTCTCTCTCTCTCTCTCTCTCTCTCTCTCTCTTTCTCCCTCGCCCCACCCCTCTAGAAACATATCCTCAGGTGAAAATTTAAAAAAAAAAATTCCTGGATGAGTTTTCCTAAAATCTGGAGTGACTTTAGCATGGTTTGACTTAAAACATAGGCTACAAATACATCCTATGTAAACGGGCCGGTGGTACTCATAATATTCATTGAGGGTAGTGGTTCTCAACCTTCTGGCCCTTTAAATACAGTCGCTCATGTTGTGACCCAACCATAAAATTATTTTCGTTGCTACTTCATCACTGCAATGTGGCTACTGTTATGAATCGTCATGTAAATATCCGATATGCAGGATGGTCTTAGGCGGCCCCTGTGTAAGGGTCGTTCGACCGCCGAAGGGGTCGCGACCCACAGGTTGAGAACCGCTGATTTAGGGAGTTGTGGGCCTCACCCCACAACTAGGAAATGGTCCCCCAGAGGAGCCTGCGTGGCTGCGGCCAGGCGATGCGATCCCTAGACACAGGGAGTTTGAGGAGGAGCACAGAACATAAGCCACGAAGGCAGGCACTCAGTGATGAGCTGACAGCATCCCTTATGTAATAGATCCATGTTTCTCTCTCTCTTCCCCCTCCCTCTCCCGTCTTCTCTCTCTAAAATCAGTAAAAGCATGTCCTTGAGTGCAGATTAAAAAAACAATTAAGAAAACTGTGGAGTTAGATAGTAGTAATGGTTGCACAACATTTTGAATAGACTAAAAGACACTGAACTGCCCAGCTGGTGTGGCTCAGTGGTGGAGCATGGACCTATGAACCAAGAGGTCATGGTTCCAATCCCAGTCAAAGCACATGCCTGGGTTGGGGGCTCAATCCCCAGTAGGGGCCGTGCAGGAGGCAGCTGATCAATGATTCTCTCTCATCATGGATGTTTTTATCTCTCCCTCTTCCTTCCTCTCTGATATCAATAAAAACATACTTAAAAATAAATAATAGCCCTGGCTGGTTTGGCTCAGTGAATAGAGCCTGGGGACTGAAGGGTCCCGGGTTCGATTCTAGTCAAGGGCACCTACCTGGGTTTCGGGCTTAATCCCCAGTAGGGGATGTGCAGGAGGCAGCCAATCGGTGATTCTCTCTAGTCATTGATGTTTCTATCTCTCTCTCCCCCTCTCCCTTCCTCTCTGAAATCAATAAAAATAAATTTTATATATATGATCTGATTATCAAAAAAAATTCACTACGTGACCTAAAACTTTCATTTAAAAAAATAAATAAAATAAAATAAGATGAACTGTGCACTTTAGAAGTGTGGGTTTTGTGCTATGTATATGTCAATAAAATGAATTTTTGAAAAGAATTCAAATGACAGTTTCTCTTTATTCTTTCCTGGAATGCTAGGTGTTGGGTTTGCTTCCAGTGTTGTACCGCCAGCAAAACGCTGCAATAAACACCCTATCCCTGCCTCCTGGTTCACAGGTGTGATCTCTCCAGGGTAGGTAGATAGGAGTAAAATCTGACTTCCGTCCACCCCCTTTTTAAAAAATATATTTTATTGATTATTTTACAGAGAGGAAGGGAGAGGGATAGAGAGTTAGAAACATCGGATGAGAGAGAAACATCGATCAGCTGCCTTCTGCACACTCCCCACTGGAGATGTGCCCACAACCAAGGTACATGCCCTTGACCGGAATTGAACCCGGGAACCCTCAGTCCGCAAGCCGACGCTCTATCCACTGAGCCAAACCGGTCAGCGCCCATCCACCCCTTTCATCCCACTCGGAGAGGGAAAATGAGAGCTAAGGTGGTTTCACTTACTACATTGCCACTAGGGATGTACCTGTTTCCACTTCCCTGCATCCTTGCCAACTGATAAGTGTATTTGTTGTTGTTGTTAATCCTCATACGAGGATATTTTCCCCCCATTGATTTTCAGAGAGAGTAAAAGGGAGGCAGGGTGTAGAGAGAGAGACATTCATGTGAGAGAGACACGTCGATTGGTTAACTCCCCCCCCACACACACACACATACACACGAGCCGGGAATGTGTCCTTGGTGGGAATCGAACTCGGGACCCTTCTGTCCATGGGCCAACACTCTATCCCCTGGGCCACACCAGCCGGGGCTGTATTTTCCTTCTTTTTGTACCTTTTAAGGTTAGCTAGCTACTCAGAGTAATTCATCCTTTATATGTGGAGGGAGTTCTTTGTGTCTTGAGTAGCTTTACATGAGAAATATATTCTGTATGTCCCTCTAAATCAGCGGTTCTCAACCTGTGGGTCGCGACCCCTTTGGGGGTTGAACGACCCTTTCACAGGGGTCGCCTAAGACCATCGGAAAACACATATATAATTACATATTGTTTTTGTGATTAATCACTATGCTTTAATCATGTTCAATTTGTAACAATGAAAATACATCCTGCATATCAGATATTTACATGACGATTCATAACAGTAGCACAATTACAGTGATGAAGTAGCAACGAAAATAATTTTATGGCTGGGGGTCACCACAACATGAGGAACTGTATGAAAGGGTCGCGGCATTAGGAAGGTTGAGAACCACTGCTCTAAATGTTAAATTTAAAGAGTGCTTTTAGATATTTAATTTACCTGAAATTAATTCTTGTCTAAGGTGTGAGATAGAGACCTGGTTTTTCCACTTGGATCATCAGTTGTCCTGGTGCCCTCTGGTGAAAGGCTCTTTTTCGTTTAAATTGTGTCTTCAATTTATTGAACTATGACCATTTCTTTTTTTAAAATATATTTTTATTGATTCAAGAGAGGAGCCTAGCTGGTTTGGCTCAGTGGATAGAGCGTCAGCCTGCGGACTGAAGGGTCTCAGGTTCAATTCCCGTCAAAGGCATGTACCTTGGTTGCGGGCACATCCCCAGTAGGGGGCGTGCAAGAGGCAGCTGATGGATGTTTCTCTCTCATCGATATTTCTAACTCTCTATTCCTCTCCCTTCCTCCCTGTAAAAAAATTCAATAAAATATATTTTTAAAATAAAATAAAAATAAAAAAGAGAGGAAGGGAGAGAGATAGAGAGTTAGAAACATCGATGAGAGAGAAACATCGATCAGCTGCCTCCTGCACATCTCCTACTGGGGATGTGTCCGCAACCCAGGTACATGCCCCTGACCGGAATCGAACCTGGGACC